TTTGATTTTACAAAATGTTATTATATACTGTATTACTTGCACTGCTAGGACGAATCTAACAGTACCTCATATGTCAAAATCCATCAAGTCGTTTGGACTGTAGCTTGTAATTTCTTGTTTACATGGATAGATACCCACGTCAAACATACAGAGTTTTTAAGGTGAGGCACCTACCGTAGCAAGCTGAAATTGTCAGGGTTTATTCTACATTGATTGAAACAGTTTTTACAATGGAATAAAAAATGACATACAACCTCAATTTTTTTTACCGCCCTCCGAAGTTGAGGGATGGAAGAGATTTAAAAAAAATGAATTCAAGATTTTTTGCGTTGATTTCTAATTAGCTCTGTTAAAAAGTAACATAATCATTCCTAAAACTAACCATTTAGCTCATCTCAAAAAAAAAATCACAGCCCGAAACCTAATGTTTTAGGCCCGTATCGTCAGTCGTCCCTACAATTGTAGGGCGCCTTTATGTCCTCCTTGATTGTCATAGTTTTCTACTTCTCCGTGTCAGAACTCTATTTTGAGGTTATGTCACAAACATAGGAGAGCGCTGACGCTGACACGGGACAAGTGTAATCTAGAAATTTTTGAAGGAGAGAAAGAAGTATGACAATCAAGGAGGCCATAAACGCGCCCTACAATTGTAGGGATGACTGACGATACGGGCCTTAGTTGTAATTGAGATTGAAAGTTCACTATTCCATTTTTTTCGAAATTTCACAAAATTGCAAATATCTCTTGAACTATAAAATTGTGGACCACACATATAGGGGTTCATTCGATATGTCTTGAGGCCCGCTATCACCTGACTTCCGTTGACCCACTACTAACGTTACACCCCGTATATCCCACTGGTATTGAGATCCCCATGCATAGATTTCAGTCTTAAGGTTTATTTTTGGTTCCAGCTCCTTTCGGTAAAAAAATTGGAAGTATCTAAACTATTTTATTTAATCATGGAAAATAAGGACGTTTTCAGTATTTCGGTAAATAGGGTTTCGTTTCGGTAGAAATACCGAAAAATTAGTAGCTTTGACAACACTACCCGTCCGAATAAACTTTATATAGGGTGATTCACAAGTAGTGACCAAAAATGAAACATCATATACAGGACCGCATCTTCTATGTAACATTTTTCCTCGAGGCTTGATTAAAGAGAAGTTAAAAAATAAAAAAAGAATTCTTTTTAATATTTTCAAAATCCTCAACTGAAATGAACTGAAATTTGTTATGTGAATTTACCTAAGTGCTGCCCACATTCAAAAGTCCTTACTTGAAATTAACGTGCACCAGTGGCGGAGATACAGCCCAACTAACAATTATCACTCCTATTACAGTTGCAAGAATGATTATACAGTATTCCTTAAACAGCATTGTATACTGTAAGAACATTGGCAAAACCCTCTCAGAACAGCTATACAAGCGGAATGGGCACACCTAATAGGACACTTCAGTCATTTAAGAGGTTAAATAAGGGCTGCAGGTAACAGTTATAAAACAAAAGTGTAAGCCTCTTGCAGCCGCTATAGGACATTTGCGTCAGTGCAAGATTCAGTTTTTGTCAACTATACAACTATTCTGTTACGCGATTCTACTTTATGGCAACCAAACTATTTCTTATGTATTGTATAGACGAAGTTAAGAATATTTAACTAACACATTACTGTCATCTTGTTTACTTACATATCGGTCATTGTGAATTTCATACACAGGAACTTCTGCACTATGATATAGGGCTATTGAATTACTTGAGAATTTTATTGTGATTATCATGCAAATTAGTTACCCAATTTCTACGGGCTACGTATTTGATTCATATTTTGACAATGCTCAAAAGTATGTCTAGATTTTTAAGATGAAAGCTGAACTTATCTGCGTTAAATCTTCCACAAATCCTATATTTAGACACAATTACACTAATGTTTATCACTTTATATCTGTAATTTCGTACTGAAACATAATTATTTAATATTAAATAGAGGAATAAATGTTTGGCCAATATGGCGCGTGGTTGTGTACAATCATGGCATCGTCCATGTTGTCTTTAGGTTATTAGAATATTTTGGTCTTGCCTGCAGGTGTTATACAACAATTTGACAAATGTTTGAAATGAAATACCGACAGAGTCGAATGATTTACCCAGAATTTGTACCAGATCTATATCTTCTGTTTGAACAGTTGATAAAACCTTTGGAACCAATATGCATGCGTTGTTTGTCTTAAAACACTGATTATGGCATTTTAGCATTTTACAAAAATATGACAGCAGAAAGTTAGGTTATGGTGAAGTTGTTTACCAACATATTTAGCATATGTACAGCCTTTAACAGTTCCTAAACAACAGTTGTATAAGTGCTTCCGTTGGGAGCAATTTGTTGGCTAAAGTAGAAAATTGCACAGCAAAACAACAAGGATCGGGGTTGTTCTATAAACGTTACCATGGATGCCACAACACAACCATTTCGACTAACGTGCAAATATGCCGTCTAAAATAGTTGTATAAACGTTTATGCAACAGTTAAAAATTTGCCCTATAAGGTGTTGTATAACTATGCTATAAGAATATTTTAAACACTACATTTTAGAGCAAATATGTTGCAGAAAGCAAATCTGCATTCCACACAACATTAAGCCAGAATTTTTGTGTTCAGGCAACAACAATAGAGAGCTTTTATGGCTGAACGGTTCTTTTACCAAACTACTTTGCTAGTTGGGAGGGGGATTGGTGGCATTATTTTTGAAATTTTACCTTCAATTTGCAACAACTAATTACTCTTGTGTTTTTTCCTAGAGTGCACTGATAATCCTAGCTTTTATTTTATTTCAATAAATGTTCAAAACGGCCACCATTTTCATGGATACAAGTGCGGCATCTTTTTTAAAAAGATGCCGCACTTGTATTTCCGCAAAATTTGTTGTGGCTTGAATTTGATGAAACGCATTATCTGTGATTTCTTCTAATTGATGAACGGTATTAATTTGTTCAGCATACTCCAATTGTTTAAAGGCGCCCCACAAAAAGAAATCCAGGGGGTTCAAATCAGAAGACCTCGCAGGCCAATGTATGAGTCCGTTTCTGAAAATCCATTGCTGTCTAAAATGATTATATTTAACCACGATGAACACGCGGTGGCCACCGTCGTGCTGATACCACATTCGTACTCTCGTTGCTAACGGGACACAATCTAACACATTTTCTATGTGATTCTCTAGAAAAGCTAAGTATGAATTTGCATTTAAACGTTGTAGCAATACGTGCATAAACAGTTGGCCATTGAAAATGTCACACCAGACATTTCTAGAAAATCTGTGTTGAAACGAGTGGATTCTTACAGAACGGGGATTTTGTTCCATATGAGAATTAAAGGTCGCATTCCTCCTAAAAGGCGATTCATCTGATCACAAAACCAAATCAATAAAAAAGTGCATTTTGATTATGCATTTGCACAAAATGGTAGTAGTAACGATAACAACCGTATAACACCTAACTTTGACAAACTGTCTCGCGAGAAACGTCAAGTTGGTATCAAGGCCTCCTATTTTTTTTTTAAACTAATTGTATCTGGGCTCTTGACGAACGATCTAATTTGTTTTATTTTTATTTCAACGACAACAGTACACTCTAGGAAACAACGCAAGAGTAATTAGTTCTAGCAAATTGAAGGTAAAATTTGGAAGATTTCGCGTTTCGGAAAAAACAGTGGCATACTATTTGTATTTGGATAAATAATGCCACTGATCCCCTGTATCTCCGCCACTGGTGTACGTTAATTTTGACTAAAGATTTTTAAATGTGGACAATACTTAGGTAAGTCCACATACCAAATTTTAGTTCATTCCAATTGGCGGTTTGGAAGATATTATTTATTATTATTATTATTATTATTTATTTTTAAACTTCAACACCCCGTATGTTGTAAATGAACCCCTCGAGGAAAAAATGTTGCATAGTAGACCACGCGGTCCTGTGTATGATGTTTCATTTTTGGACACGACTTGTGAATCACCCTGTATAAATGCTGAACAGTAGTCAATACTGTCCCCGGAGGTACACTATATTTGAGGAGCAGACTTTCTATATGCAATTTGTCCATTTTTCCAAATTTTCAACCATATTGAATGATAAAAATTCCTTGGACTTTCTTTATGCTATATGTCCATTAGCGGTGGACAAACTAACAGAAGTTTGCCCTTGCAGCCTGGACTAATAATTGTCTTTAGTTTGTCGTTGCACGTGTTGCTGTCAGACGTGTTTGTTTTGTGTACTTTTATTTCTCTGTTTTTCACGAAACAATCCAAAATAATGGATGTACCTGTGAAATGGGATCATATAGTTGGTGATACGAACCGTGGTAGTAGAAAAAGGAAAAAAATATCACATTTAAGAGCGTAAAAGTTATGTTATGTAAGTTTAAATGATTTTGAGGTTATGTTTGTATTACGCTATTGTTTGGATAATATCATCTGTAGGCTGTTATGTTATTATCGTTAATATTTTAATATTCTCTTTTTAAAGCATTCAGATCATTACCCTAATTTGGAACATCTTGTTGATTTTTCCTGTAGTCACCATAAACGCAAGGTTTTTTTTGCTATGAACTATCCCAGGATGACATACATACAATAAGAAATACGTTTTATAAAACGAAAAAAAATAATGTACAGGATAATAAACTGGGACATTTTATGGATGTTGGAAAACCAGATAGAAGTCGTAACCGAAGACCAGGAGGAAAATCGCACATTTATTTCTACAAGATATTTTGTAAGTTTACTCTTAAATAATTTGATTTAGCTTAAAAGGGTGATTGTTTAGACATACACTCCGGTGGAAAATATAGTATTTTTAAAATCGGCCCTTAACTTATCCCGATCGAACGACAAAAAATTCAAACTGGAAACTTAAATTTAAAGATATAATCGTGGTTTAAGCAACGCTTTACTATCGGAAGGTCAGGTTTAATTTTACCTTGGACTTTATATTATTTTTTTAGGTTTGGAAAAACGGGAAAAAAGTCTATATTTGCCTGAAACTATTCTTAGCAATATTTAGCGTCATTCAGAGACGCGAAAATACTATTGCTCGGAAGATCCAATCTGGCAGTGGCATTATTGAGAAGCGTGGAGAAGACAAACGCTCTTTTAATAATGTAAATAAATTTGAAGCTGTGAAAGAATTCATAGCTAGTTTGAAAGGACATGAAAGTCATTACGGCCGTGCTAAATCTCGTCGCATCTATCTTTCAGCCGAAAATAATATTACTGCTTTATGGAATCTGTACAACCAGGTTGCAGTTGAAAATTTGAAAGTGAATTACAAGTATTTTAGTAGGATCTTTAATAATAATTTCAATATAGCATTTGGGAGTCCTGCCAACGACGTATGCGGTTTTTGCGTTAGGACCCAAACTTCTATTGGCATTTGCAAAGACAAAAATGAAATAGACAAGTTGAAAACTTCTCTGCGTGTGCATAAAATGCGGGCCAAACAATTTTTCAGTCTAATGAAAGAGAAGCCGGCACAGAGTGTTTCTTATTGTTTTGCCCTTCAGCAGGTTCAGGTCTTACCAAAAGTGGCCATTCAAGATGCATTTTATGCTCAGCAACTGTCTTTTTATTGTAGTATTTTACACCTGGATGGAACATCAAGCAAAAAGGGGATCTGCAGAGACAAGTTCTGCTTTACGTGATTTCCTTAATAAATCAGAATTTGCGCCAGATGTAAAACAGTTAAGACTATTCGCAGATGGTTGTGCTGGGCAGAATAAAAATGCACACGTGATGCATATGCTTATGCTATGGCTGTACAATGATGCTCCAGTGCGCGGCCATTCCTATTTGCCAGCAGACCGTGTTTTCGGCCAAATAGAAAAAGTTACACGATCCTACAGTACGATAAAGACACCCACACAATATGATGATATTTACTCCAGGAAGGGAGACGTTAGACAACTTGCTAAGGACTGGATTGTTTACGATATAAAAACGGCGTTAACTTCTTTAAAGAAAATTGAAGGGATCAGTGCGGCCAAACGAATTATTATTGAGAGATCACAACACAACAGTGACATTTTGCTTAAGACCGAGTTATTTTACAGAAATGACGATCCTTCCAAACAATTTCAAACGTTATTAAAACGTGGAAAAAAGCTTTCTACTTTAAAGTTACTTGTCGTAACGCTGAAAAATGATATTAAAACAAAAAAACTAAAGAGCCTCTCGAAACTGCTCGTGGAACTGTCAGGGGTAAATTGGGCCACAGATCCGGAGTTAACATGGTGGCAGTCAATTCTTTCTGATAATATGAGCAAAACGACATTCAACTTAACCAAGATCAAACTGACGATGATGATGTTTCCGAAGAAGCTGACATATGCGATTTTAATGATGATGACGATGGGGACATTTATGACATGTAAAATTTGTAATTACTGTTTGATATTTCCAAAATAAAATACTAGTTCTATAAATCTACATATCTTTTTTACACCCTCACTACAAAGTTAGTCATACCGCTTCATGCAGACAATCAAAATGCATTTTGTCCCAGGCTGACAATCTAAATGCAGTTTGTCCGACAGTTTTTTTGAGGTTTTCAAAATACAATTGGTACTAGATTTTTCACATGTAGGTATAATATTTGCGTATTTTTTCATCCATTTTTTTAACATATCAGTTTTTCGGTTAATTTCTTGCCAAACATGTAGTGGTTTTTCTTTATTTGCCAAAGTTACAAAAAATGGACAAAATGCGTTTAGAAAGTCTGCTCCTCATTTGACAGTGTGTTTGCTGCATTATTAATTTGTACTCGTTGTTCGCGTCCTGATAATTTAGATAAATATTTGCCCCGTACCCGAGAGCCCTGCCGTACCGGACCGTCGACCGAGCGGTCATCCGATCTCAGCTTGCGCGCCCGGACGCTCTTCGCCGGGCGTCGCGGCGCCTCCCTCCAAGCCGGACGACGCCGCGGCGACTGACGGTGGTCGGCAGTCGTGCTTTCGCGCTCGCCACGAACGAACGAACGCTCCGGAGCCAACGTCGAGCCGGAGCCACTCCGGAACACGAACACCGACACGCGTTTCACTTTTCGTAATTGCATACATTTACGAGTGAGGTGAATTTGTGTCTGTGCCGAATTTTGATGAATTTGTGTCTGTGACTTGGTTCCGTGGATATTTAGGATGATTTTGTAGTGGTGATCGTAGATGTTTAGTGGACAGAACTTTCTAAAAGGTAAATTATCGTATAAGATATAGAAACAGGTACAATGTGGATGTAACTACTGATTACACTGGTGAACAAAATTAAAATAATTTTTGGTGACATGGACAAAACAAGGTTGTTATAAGGTACCCAAAAAGCCGGAAATATAATTTTTTTCTAATTCCCACTGTTTTCTTTCAATGAAGCATTTTATTTGCTGCTTATACTCGTCAAATATAAGGATATGTGTGTAACACTCGAATAAACATTAATCTCGAAAGGTTGTTATCGGTGTTTTATGGCGATATGTTGCTCCTGAAGTATCTCTTAACAATGTCCAGCAATAATCAGCAATCACATTGACACTCCATTTGCCTTGATACCGTTTTTTGCTAACAGAAATGTCTTGGTGGAACCGTTCACCATGTTCATCACTCACCGCAACTAAATTTTCCGAAAAAAAAATCGAGACTAGAATCCAAAAATTGAATTTTCAGAGACATGTTACATCCCATTGCCTAAAAAATTTATAAAAGCATTCCAAGCTCGTAATTCAGTTTCATTTAGAGTACTGTCAAATATATCATCCTTCATGATTTTCCGTATTTGTGGACCCACAAATATGACCTCTCTAATTTCTGCCTAAGTCTCGGAAATGCTTTTTTTAAATGCAGAAAGTCTCTTCCATGTCGATCCATAGCTTTCATAAAATTTTTCATCAGTCCCAACTTAATATGCAAAGGTGGAAGCAACACGTTTTTGGGATCAACTAGTGGGTCATGAGCAATGTTTTTGAGGCTCGGAATTAATACCTGATATATATATATATATATATATATATATATATATAATGACGATATCTCGCACGACTGTCCCATTCATAAAGAAAATAACAATATTTGGTATATCCTAGTTACATTCCAAGAAAAAGGGCTATTATCTTCAAATCTGCACATGTGGCCCATCCAAATTCATTATAACGGATATGCTCTAACAGAATTCGCATATTTTCATATGATTCCTTTATATGAAGTGCGTGCGCTATACATATAGGTACAGATGGATATTTATTACCGTTGTGTACCAATACCGCTTTTAAACTAAGCTTAGAGGAATCAATGCACAGGCGCCAATCATTTGGATCATGTTTCTGTTCTAACGCTCCAAACAAATTGTTGGCATCGGAGCAATACCTATGTCAACTCCCTTTCTTGACGGAAACAGTGTACGAGGTCTTATAGCCGTTTTCTGTAAGAAGTAATGTTAACATCACCGTGGAGAAGATTCCATTTTTTTAATCTTGACGCTTAATTCTCGAACTAAGTCATTGAGTTCGCCCCGTGTGATCAAATGCGGCGCTGTTGAACATCCTGGCAGGTCAAAGGAAATATCGGAATTTTTTACGCTTTCTGTACCATCACTTCCAGAATCGGTAGTTTCGAATTTTTCATTCAAAGACCAAGATTCTGGTGGAACTGGGACAGAAAGCTCATCACTATGCTTAATGGGCCGCAAAGCTGATGGTAAATTAAAATACTCAACAGTATGTTTAGATTTTTGTTCAATACCTTTAATATTTGTGAGGCAACAGTAGCAATCAGTAGTATGGTCTCTCGGTTCTCTCCAAACCATTGGTACCGCAAAGGGCATTTTACGATTGTCGCCTCTTAACCAACCTGTTAATAACGTTGAACAAGTCTTAGAACATATATGACGGGCCCATAGTTTATCTTGGTCGCCAACTTTAATTCCAAAATAAAGTTCGCATGCTTTCAACACAAGGGGAGTAAAAGTATGTTTTTAGGATTTAAAAGTTAGCTCTCCGCACATATAACAAAAACTGTTCGCTCTATTTACACAATTTATAGGCATTGTCCATAAAGCTAGTCTCGATCACAGTAAACTGAAAACAACACTACGTTTTAACAAAAATTACTCAGATCATCTCAGTACCCTTCAAGACAGAAATCGGAACTGACTCGGCTGCTATTAGTAGACTTATAAACACAATATGATCTCTAAACATATAGCTCGCATATAATAAACAGGAATATACAGATTTTAACATATGTGCGTCATAGCATAAACGCCGAGAAATGCATCAATATGAAATGTTACGTATTGTAATTCATAAAAGTAGATGTTACCAAATAGCTGTGGGCGATAGAAAAATTCTCTTTTTAGATTTGATTTATGGGCCTTAAAATATATAAGATACACCCAAAAAATGTCATGTTACAAATCTTGTGTTTATCAGTGTTATTAATGGCGCTTTCTAAACCAGCAATATTTTTTCTGCATTATCTATGTTGTTGTTGGAGAGAACAGTATGCCCTGAACTCTACCACATTTATTTAGCAAACCCAATTTTACAAATATAAGAATAATATATATCTATATATCAAAAAAACAAAAACAAGGTTTCTCTATATGAGCGCCTAAGTTTAAAAATCTGTTTGCGTAAAAACAATCCAATACAGTAATTAATTAATAAATATCGTACAATATATATTCTTGTATGAAATTACTCAACAATACCAACAAAACATGAAACACAGTAAAAACAATATGAAAGAAAATCCTATATTTTTTGTAAGTCATATATATGACTTGAGATCACAGAAAAAAAACGTATCACAATTATATCGCAATAAAAAAGAAAAGAATCAAATTTATATATATATTCGTTTAATGTTCAGTATGTTACGAAAAGTGTGGAATTTATGGATAAAAAAGCAAATTTTTTGACTCTAGCTGTAATAGTGTAAAAATTTTGGTATATTTTACAATTATAAAAGCACATACGATGATTATCTTCAATTTAATATCTGGAAAATGGAAAATCTTGCTCGACGTAACATAGGTGTATGTTGCAGTAACATGATAACCATCAGTTTTCATTGAACCCCTACATCTGCTCGGCAAATGAGTTCCAAAATAATCATGATGCAGTATCAAGCTAGTCAGCTCGCGACTTAGACGAGACATTCTGAGCTCTACTCAGTTATACACATTTCTACCAGGGGTGTAGCTAAAGTTCTAAGCGAGAAAGCATATTCAAATTTGGGGAATCTCCCATGTTATCAAAAATTAGCAAAGCGAGGTCCCTCTGCCCCC